GGAGGCCTTGCGCTCTGAACCAATGGCGCCGTTGGCAACAGCGCGGAGGCTGCCGATGCTGGGCCTGCCCGAGAGGCTGCCACTTCCTCCGCTGCGAACACTGTCGGAGTCGTTATCGGACGAAGGGAAGTGATCGCTGTCCGGCGAGGCGCTTCCGCTGCCGGTACGGTGAGCACGGCGGCCGATGCCAGCTCGCACAAGGTTGCCCACAGCCTGGCGGCGTTGACGAGTGGCAAAGTTCTTGCTACCCTCATGCTTGGTAGTAGGACGCTCCTTGAGCTCCTCGATGGAAGGAGGGTTGCGAGGCTGACGAACTGGGTGCTCTCCAGCGCGTGCTTGACCAGGGCCGAATGTGCCAGTCATCGGGGTGGCAGGGAAGCCAACCGGGCGGGTGAAGGCAGAGCGGGGACCCTCCTCGGCCTTGCCATCAACAGCAAGAGAAGACAGATTCTTCTTGTGGCCGCGACGGAAAGCGTTGGCAGATGGCGGTGGGAGCGGGACCACATCCTGGGGTGGGGTGTTTGACTTCTTCGGCGGCGAAGTGCTGCGCGAACCCCAAGGGCTGGGGTTGCTCTCGTTGGGAGGAGAGACGTGGAGCACTGGGGTATCGACCTTGGGCGGCGAAGTAGCGAAGCGGGGAGTTGGCGGCGGCGGCGAGTGCGACAGACCCGACATACCATTCTGAGCCTGCATGTCGCCGTTGTCTTGCTGGTAGCTCGGGTCAACGACGTACTGGTACTGGCCTGTCATCTGGTTGAAGACAAGGTAGACACCAGGCTGGTTGGTCTCCTGGATGGCAGCGGTGTTTCCAAACTGCTGGCCGTAGGCGTTCATCTGAGGAGTGTATGGCGTGTTGGGGTACTGCTGTCCACCGCTCATGTTCATGTTGCCGAACTGCTGGGTCGTCAGAGCAAGGAGTTGCTGCTGGAGCTGCTGCTGCCTCTGGGCGAGGTAGAGCTCGGTAGCCAGGAGCTGAGCCGCGACGTTGGGGTCCATCTCGCCGTCATCGAACTCGAATTGGGGAGGGGCCAGGACCTGGTTGTAGAAGTCGGGCTGCTGCTGTTGCTGCTGGTACTGGTTGACACCGCTGAAGCCAGAGCCGATGGCAGTCTGGGGACCACCCTGGTTGGTTCGGTTGAACTGCCTGGAGTTGTTGGCGTTGTTGGTACCAATGTTATGCTGGCGCTGCGAGTAGGGAGCCGAAGCAGGGGGCTGCGCAGACGTGGGAGTCTTGGGCGCAGTGCGGAGGCCAGCCAGGAGGTGGGAGCGGCTGGTGCGAGGAGTCGCAACCGAGTCCTCCGCGATGGAGGCAACCTTGGGCGGCGAGGCAACGCTGAGACGCTTAAGCTGAGCGCCCTTGCCGCGAGAGGCAAAGCTTGAGGTGGGACCGCCAAAGCCACCCTGGGATTGGAAGTTGTTGTAGGTCATCTGAGCAAGACCGCCAGCGTCCATGCTCATTGTGGTGGTCTAAGAAGAGTTGCGAACAAAGAGTAAGGTGCAACAAGGAGTATGCTAGGCGCACACGGGGAAAGATACAGAATCGAAGAAGGCCGGAAGAGGGAGTGTTGGCAAGACGGAAACCGAGCGTGCACCGACGAGACGTCTGCTGTGAGGCAGGGTGCGAATTGGCTGGCGATTATGGGATTAAGGATCGTACAGATCGGGATTGTAAGGTAGAGTTGATATCGAAAACCGGCCGATGGGCAATGTAGTTGGAGCTATTAACAAGTTCTTCGGGCGCCGTGTCGTTTGATGTGCGGTCAGAAGGATCGAGTGGCGACGGCAGCAGGCGCGGTCTGGCAGCAGCGAAGATATTTATGAAGGGGAATAGACGAACAGGCAGCGACGGGATCACGGGCAGACAAGCTGGTAGTTGATGCGTCGGCTGGCGAGCTCTTCTTCTCTCGGGGGAGCGACGGGACTGGCGCGCTCGCACAATCTCAGATTAGGCGGGGGTAAGCTGGTCCAACTGGGGGAGCAGGTAGAAGATGCAGAAGCGGCACTGTGTAGTCGAAGAGAGCGAAGGGAGAGAGGTAGAGAGGAAAGGGCGAGATGGAGGGGCCAGGAGAGAAAAGTGACGAGCAGCGGAGGAGCAGCGAGCCATGGACGAATGCGAGCGCTATAAGTGACGGGGGACCTGTGGCAGCGACAGCGACCCTGCATCGAGCCTAGCGCTGGCAGGCCCCCTGGCCGCGCTGGACGCACGCTTGAAACGCTGGGCCTGATGCGTAATGACTGCGCTTGGGCCGTTCCTGCGTGCGAAGGCCCTCGTGTGCGAGCTGGAGCACCTCGCTTTGATGCCGTGACGGTGCATTGCGCGAAGTTGAGTGCTGCTACTGTACACAAAGCGTTCGCTGCGCTCGCGGGTTTCAGGCGCTGGGCGTCATTTGCGGGATGCTCGCTCCTGCCGCACCGGGCGAGGGCCCTGAGCGCTCCTGCCCGACGCCACGACCGTACCTTCCTCGCGGCGCACCCAGCAAGGGCAAGAGCGACTGGCAAACAGAACCACCGAAACAGCGTCTCTCATTGCTCGAGCCCCAAGCCCACGAGCACACCGCAAGACGTGATCCACTGCATCGATAGCGTCTATCTACGCCATCTCGGCCAGTCGTTCGTAGCGTCCCAGTAGTTACCAACGGCGGCTATGCGCCTGCGCGCTGCTACTGGCCAGTCCCATCGCGGCCACCGCAGCCCTTCAGCCACGCACACTCGCTCTAAATATACCCACCACCACCTGTTCACCAGCTCCAGCGACTCCTCTGCAAAGGCATTGGTGTGCGGCCGTCTCTGCTCCGCAACGATGAACAGCGTGGCATGCGCATGAATGGATCCAAGCCCGGCACACTCCATCTCAAATCACTCACCTGTCTGTCAGCAGTCAGCTTCCAAATGTCCGCATCACCCACGCGCAATCTGCAATGCATGTCGTGCGGGAGGAGCATGCTTGTTGGCGTGTGCCGACCCCGGACCTGGCTGCTGTCACGCTCCCACTGCAGATCCAGCGAGATGCTCGGTGCCTTGGGGCGGCCTCGCAATCGAGTCCCTTTTTTCCACCTTTTTTACACGCGTCGGCTTCGGCGGTCTTTCAATCGACTCGTGCCACTGCGCGTGCAGCCCCTTCTTCGCTGTCGCCTGCCGTTTCGTCCCGGGTCTACCCTGCTGTCTCGCTCTGAAACTGTCGCTCCGTCTCAACCACCGCAGCCCGTGCGTCGCTCCCTCATCTCGCTAGACTCTCCCTGCAGCAACGCCTGCCAAGCCAGCTTTGAAAGCGTGAAACATGCTCTCGTTATCGTCACCTAGCGTTTGGGCCCCCGAAGCTGTGGGATGCGGAAGGCGCGCTGTCAGGGCGATGCTTGAACGCTGATCTCCATTCGCGTGTGGGGACGACGCCCCTTCGTATGGAGAAGTCTGAAGACAACTCATAGGTATGTATCATCGTCCAAGCAAGCTCACCAGTCGCGCCGCTACCGCCTGCTGTACATCGTTAGACTCGCTTGCCCTTCGCGAGACTATCGAATCTAGCACCGAGGCCATTCGGAGTGAACCCGGCTACCGGTATCGTATTGGCAGCCGTTCGGTCAGAGCCGCCGTCTTTAGCGGGCAGTAACACTGCTTACGTCCGAACCGGCCGATTGCCCTTCGAAAAGAACCTCATCAGAACGCTTTCGTTCTGGACCGGAAGCCAGCGGCAACGATTAGTGGGGCGCATGAGCCCGTTCGGGAGCGCAGAAAAAAGGCAGGAGTGAGGCGCAGGACTAGACACGACAAGGCAACACGAGTTTTATATGCCTCGAGGTTGGAAGGCTCGTCATGTCCAACAGAATGGTGCACCGCAAAGTCAGCATCGCCAGACGTCTTGTCCAGACGAGGTCCCTCACCAGACAGACAGCTCCTGCACCATCAGCGCTTCAGCACGCGCTTGCGCAGCTCTGTTTCACGAACACGATCGTCGAGGCCGTTGGAAATAGTGTGCCTCTGGCGCCGCAAGGCTGCATGTTTCGAAATTTCCAAAGCTCCTCGCCCACACATCGCGTAGACCTCCAATCTTTGCCTTGGCTTACCAGTGCGATGTCACCCTCCCACTGGATCGATGCTATTAGACATCGTCAATGGTGTACATAGTGCGTTGGATCCTCCATTTCCCTCTCAGTACAACGAGGTAAGAAAGAGCAGCTGAGAATGTTGACTCTATTACCTCGTCCCCGCTCAGCGCCGTCTCGTGTTCGCAGACTGAGGGAGCGTTCCAAAAGGCCTGGCCTCTACCATGTGAGAGTAGGAAGTGCGCATCAATATGAAAGAGTTGACATGTCGTCAGTGCAATGCAGAGTAAGTTCTTCAGTTCATCTGTCGCTGACGGATAATTTGGAAAACCGACGCCGTTTGACTGATGATGTTCCCGTACTATTTGGAACGTGTTAAACAAGAGGAACGACGCTGTTGCTTGAATCCGCACAGCCAATCGTCCAGTCGCATCTAGGAATCATCCTGTCACTTTTATCAACCGTCCAGTCGCATCTAAGAGGTCTTTGCGAGACCCACTAGTAGTGTTTTCGCATGTTTGACACTTGGCATGAGACTCGGCACGAAACACCTGACACCACATGTTCATATAGCTCTTTTTAACCAGACTTTTCTCAAGCGTCGCGAACATCAGGCAAACTGTTTCGATCTGCACCGTCGCCCGTTTTCCGATGTCTGCGGCAGCGTTAGTGACGGAGCGATGGAGGCTCTTAGGCACGCGAAAAAAGAGTATATAGTCACCCTCGACGCTGCGCATCTTCTAATATCCAGATCTGCAGCGCATTTCCCATCTTCTACTACCTTTCTACTACCATCGATATCCTCTACAGCATCCTTCTTAATATCCACTAATACTCTTAATTGTCATCCTGACATTTCGACTTAATCCAAATCATCTCAGCCTAATACAAATCAACATGCTTTTCTCGAACATCGCAATTGCGGCTTTGGCCCAGAGCTTGACTGCCTCCGCTGCCACCATGATGGTCACGGTCGCTGCCAACAACAAGTTCCAGTTTACGCCTAACTCTATTGTTGCCCAACCCGGTGACATGGTCGCTTTCAACTTTGTCAGCCAGGTACGCAACTGCTTCCATCGCTTCACCACTACTCCAACAGATACTGACTCTATCCTCACAGAACCACAGTGTCGCCTCTTCTGACGCAAACAGTCCCTGCCAGCCCCAGGCGAACGCCATCTTCTCCGACTTCCAGCCCATCCCCGGTAACCCCAACGGCTCTCCAGGTGCAGGTGGCGCTGGCGGCGCAGGTGGTGCTGGCAATGCCGCTGGTGCTGCCGCTGCCGCTAACGGTAAAGGCAACGGCCGCAACCGCAACAACAACCGCCAAGCTGGAAACACACCCATGTTCATGGTCCCCGTCGTCGACAACCAGCCCATGTACATCTACTGCTCGCAAGCCCAACATTGCCAACAAGGCATGGTCATGGTCATCAACCCCCCCAACGCTCAGGCCGTAACTCAGTACCAGAACCTCGCTGCTCAGGCAAACAACAACGTTTCTCCCCAGGGTGGCATCAGCGGTGGACAGGTCGTCAATAACCTTGCTGGAACCACGCCCAAGAGCGTCCTCGGTGGTACAGCTGGTGATGCGGCAACGGCAGCGAAGGCGGCTACAAACGGCAATGGCAAGGGCAAGGGTGGCGGTGCTGCTGGTGGTGGTCTTGCTGGATTCCTTGCAGGTCTTGGTAAGAACAACGTCGTCGTTGAGACCAGCTCCAAGAAACTCTTCGGCTTCCCCGGTGCTGGTGCTCTTGGTGGTGCTGGCGCCCTCGGTGGTGGTGGTGCGGCCGCGGCCCTTGCTGGAGCTGGTGGTGCTGGAGGTGCTGGCGCTGCTGCAGGCGGCGGTGGTGCTGGTGCCATTGCTAAGAGCGGACTCAAGGGTTTCCTTAACGGACTTGCTCAGGGCGCCAACTAAGCATGCACATAAATAGAATAGATATATTTGGTTGAGTAGGAGGTCGTGGGTATGGGGTTGGAGCTGTATGGTACAAGCACGACGATATCGATGGTAGTAAAGAAATGCTGGTCATTGAAATGTAGATAGTAGTAATACATGTCTTATGAACTTTATTGGGATAGCTTCTATGCATCTCCGTCAGCGCATGGTGGGAAGTCGGGTTGGTAGCAGTGACGTCACTTTCATTTTCGCAAGTAGCTATTGTTCAGCGACGCTCCTTCACCCACAAACCAAACAACAGACAGCGTATGAGATACACATTTATAGCTTACCTTAAGCGTTTAGAAAGAGCTATTTAATCGATACCGCCATATGTCGTCACTAACAGGACGCATGTCATCACGACCCAGGGCGCGCAGCAAAGTGAGAGTAAGTACACACTGTATCCAGAACAATAGCATGAAGCAGAAGTATCCGCCGTTCTTTGTCCAGCACAGCTTCACTTGCCATGTTCTTCGCGACGGTACAATGGTAAGCCACAACAATGGTAAGCAGGTAGACAGCTGGCAGCTCACTGTCCATGCGTCCACATATACCTTGACATTTACTTCTTCCAACCTCCAGACACGACTCCTACTCCTCTCACATTTTGCTTCACGATTCGATCTTGCAATTAAATCGACGTTCTATATACAAGCATCTCCTTCCAGCACCATCAACCACAACATCGCCACCAAAGTCCACAACCCACACCCACCAAACACGACAACACGATGCTGGAAACCATCTCACAGCTGCTGGCCCAGCTCACCATCTTCTACCTCTCCACCAAGACCATCATTTCCAGTTTCGACTTCCCAATTCTCAACATCTCCATCCTCGTCAACGACACTACACGGCCCCCATCTTCTCTTCCATCCACCCAGGCCCGTTCTCAGACCAAGCCACACATCATCAGCAGTAGCAAGCAACGGATACCAAAGACGAAGAAGCTAAGGTGCAACATCACCCCCAAGATCAACGAGCTATCGTCTCCTGGTCTCCAGTGTGCAACTATGTAATTGGTCATAGAAAGAGAGAGTGGAGAGTGTTGAGCGCTGGTACGCTGACATCTTGTCGCACATGGTAAGTTGATTGCAGGCCCACTTCTGTGTACCGTTTACTGATCTTGATGGTAGATATGCAGCGGTGAGCGTTGGTAGAGTCTCTGATATTCGAGATCAGTCAAGAAATAGAGGAATATGCGGGGTTTCACGTTCAGGTTATGCGAAGGGCTGATGGGTGTTTTTTTGCGATTCTTCCCTTTTGCTTATCGACACGATCGAGGGTCTGCTTCAAGTGTTTTTCACCATCGTATCATACGGAGCAAGATTGGAGTACTTTTTGTATAATTTCGATAGTGTCCTAGAACTCGAAATCTACTACTGGTCTCTATATGCAAGCAGTGTATGGAATCTATGTACTGGAACACGTCTCCCCCATCATGTCCCTGTGTGGCTTCATCGCACTCAACGACGCTTGCCCAGCATCTCCACACCTAAGCCATCCTTGCCTTCCTCACGTGTAATCTGCTCGGCAGCCTTGACGAGATCGTACGTGATGTCGTCTCCAACAACGCTGTCCTTGTTATACTTAGGATGCGTTTGGACGAAATGCCTGATCCACTTGGCCGCAGTCCAGTATGTACCGTTGGCACGTTTGCGGATCAAGTCCAAGTAGGTGGCGAGATCGCAACGTGTTTCAACATCGACGTTCATGCTGTTGAGGTAGGATTCCACAAGCGGGATGAGACCCGGGAAGCCATTGCCATCGGAAGTAGTCTTTCCGTTGATGACTTCATTGATAGTCATCTGCTCGTACTCGTCTTCCACTGGGCCGGTGGGCGTGGCTGGGCGACTGGCATTTCCAGCTGGTGTAGATGTACCCGTTCCGCCCGACTTGTGTGCCGAGAAAGGGTCCTTTCGGAACCAGAACTTTTGCGTTGATACAGCGTCACGAATGTGCGCTGTTTCCATGTTCTCGCTCACTAGCGTGATGGGAATGTAGAAGTTGAGGTTGAATGAGAGGATAGCACGGGTCAGTAGCACAATGAAGATCGAAAATGCAGCGTTTTCGAAATCTGTGATTTGGATCTCCATGGGCCGGAACTCGACGCGCCAGCCCATGTCGGAACCGGCTGGCGGTGGCTTGAAGCGCATGTGCTGCCAATTGGTCGACTGCAGGTTTTCGAAGTGGTCGGCCTTGGTAAGGTCCAACTCTTGAAGATCTTCGGCGAAAACAACAATGGGGTCGCGGATGAACAGGTGAGCAAAGTGTGTCGCTAGGAGATCGTCCATGCCACCCTCGACGAGCCGTTGCTTGATGTCGCTGTCAATGATGAGATCCGGGTCAAGATACTCAGGGCGAAGGCGAGGATCTTGGGAGATGTAGGTTGAGTTTGATGCGTAGCGAGATTTGGGTAGTCGCCATCGGTCGTTCTTGAGCGGCTATGACGTGTCAGCGGATTCGTGATACTCAACAAGCACATGACTTACCTTCTCCCCGAGTTCTTCGGGTGTACGATCATCGACTGCCCTGCTGATCTGGTTCCACCGCACATCGGTGTCGGCCAGGAAGCCCTTGTAGATGGGGGTCGCCGCCGTCAATGCTAGCAGGATAGGTGCTATCGGACTGAGCTGGTCGTACATCTTCCTTCCCTCTTCAATGTTCTTCGCTTGGAAAGTGATCTGCAGACAGCAGCTTCCCATGCCAAAAGCCATGGCATCCATGTGGATGTAATTGTCCTTGGCAGCGCCATTGCGCACGTCGTCATCTTCAGGCCAGTTATGCATGTCATAGTTGACTGTAGGATCCTTCCACGGCCATGGCGTGTTCTCGTCCTTGAACACAGGGACGTTTACTTCGACCTTCCGGCCCCTCCGCCAACGAATGTTTGCTGCCAGTGTGGGAAAGCGAATGTGTGGATTGGCAATTTCGTCCGGAACAAACTGGGAGCGCAGCTTGGGTCCTGAAACAGGATATGATGGTACGATACAATCGGTCGATCCAAGACGAGGGAACGTCGTTAATGTGATTGGAAACTCGGTCTGTGCCATGTGATCCTTCGCTATGGTTCGTCTGCGAGAAAGGTGAGCAATCACTTCATCGCCGATGAGGTGGTCTGATCTACCTCCATTTCATGTTTGGCTCAACGTCAAGCAGGTCCTTGAAGCCAATGCCCCAGGGCTTCCCAGGAGTTGCTTCGAGCATGAATCTGCCGAACTCAGGATGGAACACCGGCGCCGGGTTTTCCTTCGCGCTGCCATGGTCAGTACAAGACGTCCAGATCTGGACAGTCAGGCTCACTCGGCGTCTCCGGTTTGCAAGTCAGGTACTCCGCCGCCCTGCTGCAGAAGCTTTTCATCGTTGGCCAGCGCAGCTAGGATATCAGCCTGACGGAGCGATAGTCGGACCTTGCGGTTGTCCTGGTCATAGCAAACAACCAGGTACTCGATCTGGACGGCGGTCAGTCGCCGACGCTGCAACGGACGAGCGGATGGTAATCCTTCACCTCATCTCCCCAAAGAAGGGCATCCCTCTCCTTGCCTTTAGCATTGCGCCAGATAGCGAGTAATTGCTGTCAATCACATCAGTACGTAGTCCTCCGGGGTCTTGTCACAGAGCGTACTTCAATTCCCCATGACCTGACCTGGCCAGCAACTTTCTTGGCCTCTGGCCAGTCAAGAGGCGTTCCAAGGGCACTTGATATGGCATTAGCGAGGGCGGCGCGCAAAGTAGCACGGATCTCACAGCAGACCCATCCCCAAGTTCTGTAAGGCGTTGCGGTAGGCAGTCCAATGCGGGTTGGTGCACGGGCGGGCCGAGCAGACGTGTGAATGGGTGGCTTCTCGTCTTGAACGGCGATTGCGGGGAGGTGTTCGGGGAGCACTGCAGATTATAGGACGTTTAGCGGGGTTTGATGCAACGCAGGGCTTTTGCAGTTTTGGACGCGCTGCAGACGCCTCGGTTTCCTGCGTTATCAAGGGATCGTCGAATGGCGGGCGATTGAAGGAATGGCAATTTCTACGCGCTCCGCTGGCATCGACGGGCAATTTGCAGAGCTAGAGTCGGGTGTATGGATTATTAATGCGCGATGCAGTAAGCAATTCCTGTGGCCCCTTCCGAGGAGGAAAGCCCCGCCGATGACGCTTGCCTCTTTGGTAAGCTGGTCACGACATCAACTCACTGTGACACTTCTGCTGTGCGCGCATTCCATCTTTCTTTGCGCAACATGGTTGGGCATCCTGACAGCGAGCCCGCATGTGCAAATGCGCACGGCGCAGTCTCCTGCTGTCCACAATGCGCCTCGCCTACCGCTGTCTTCAACCACGTGCACGCATGTCGCTACGCCGCGCGAAGCCCTCCTACTGGCGCAAGACCACGCCGCGTACCTAGGTTGAGAATCCCGATAATGTACGTTGCGAAAGGGTCCCCTTGGATACCATTGTCGCGGGCCGCGGGCTCCGGTGGCATGATACCGACCGCGCCGCAAGTATTGGCACCAAAAGCGTCGACGACATGTCTCTTCTTTGCTCTACCAAGCCGGCTCATTTCTTGGGCGGTGGTGTTGTCTGAGCTAAGCAACCGCCACTGCGGTACTGCACGACCAGGATCGGCTGCTGCTAGGCGTGCCGCACACTTTGCATCGTCGAGGTGCACATCGCCTTGCATATTGGGGGCACCAGAACGCAAGGTTATCGTGTCCTCGCTACTCTGGGCCTTCTGCAGCTACTTGGGTTGCAAGGTGCGACTCCGATGAGTTGTTATTTGACAGATGATACAATATGCGGGCAGCCTGTTTATATTGGGACGAGCCTGCGTCAGTCGTGAGCTGTGGTGCGAGCACTGCGGCACCGTTCTCCATACACTCGAGGAGCAGCGGCTTTCACACGACTGTGATGCGCAAAGTGAAACAGGATTCAAGGTATTAACTTCTAGATTCAATAACTTCTACGTCGCTGGGCCTGAAAGCCGGTGGT